CACTCTGAGGTGCAACCTGGCAGAATCGGATGGACAGAAACATGAGAGGTGTTCATTTTGCTGAAATTTTTGCATCAAAATTACTCAGGTAGTTTGTATCGTGCTTGTATGCATGTCTGACAACATCAGGGCATGCATGGGGCATCACTGAGCTCTTGGACACTCTGAGGTGCAACCTGGCGGAATCGGATGGACAGAAACATGAGAGGTGTTCTTTTGGATTTAGGTCAGTCAAGCATGGGGCCATTCATTGGTATCAATTCCTTCATCCTCCGGGAACTGCCTACTCTTGCCACATTTTCGTGCACCAGGAGGAACCAAGGACCCACTACACCAGCGTACGGTCTGATAATGGGTCCAAGGATTTCATCCCAATATCTAATGGCAGTCAGGGTGCCATTGTCAAGCCTGTAGAGGTCTGTGCATCCCTCCATGGAAATGCCTCCGCAGACCACCACTGACCCACCACCAAAACAATCATGCTGAACGATGTTATAGGCAGAATAACGTTCTCCATGACTTCTCCAGACTCTTTCACGTCTGTCACATGTGCTCAGGGTGAACCTGCTCTCATCTGTGAAAAGCACAGCGCACCAGTGGTGGACCTGCCAATTCTGGTGTTCAATGGCAAATGCCAATCGAGCTTTATGGTGCTGGGCAGTGAACACAGGGCCCACTAGAGGACGTCGGGCCCTCAGGCCACCCTCATGAAGTCTGTTTCTGATTGTTTGGTCAGAGACATTCACACCAGTGGCCTTCTGGAGGTCATTTTGTAGGGCTCTGGCAGTGCTCATCCTGTTCCTCCTTGCACAAGGTAGCAGATACCAGTCCTGCTGATGGGTTAAGGACCTTCTATGGTCCTGTCCAGCTCTCCTAGAGTAACTGCCTGTCTTCTGGAATCTCCTCCATGCCCTTGAGACTATGCTGGGAGACACAGCAAACCTTCTGACAATGGCACATATTGATGTGCCATCCTGGAGGAGTTGGACTGCCTGCGCAACCTCTGTAGGGTCCAGGTATTGCCTCATGCTACCAGTAGTGACACTGACCCTAGACAAATGCAAAACTAGTGAAACACAGTCAGAAAAGATGAGTAGGGAAAAAAAATGTCAGTGGCCTCCACCTGTGAAACCATTCCTGTTTTGGGGGTCATCTCATTGGTGCCCACCTAGTGCACCTGTTGTTAATTTCATTAACACCAAAGCAGCTCAACCTGAATAACAACCCCCTCTGCTACTTAACTGACCAGATCGATATCCCAGGAGTTTAATTGACTTGATGCTATACTCTGATTAAAAAGTGTTCCTTTATGTTTTTTGAGCAGTGTACAAAAAAAATGCTGAAGATTTGAAACAAATTCCAAAAATGAATCGGTTCAACATGGCAAACACGACTGAAAGGGTTAATAACTTTTCCTTTGTGCCTAATAACTGAAATGCTGTTATCTATGCACTCATTTTTCCCCTGAGAAATTGCAGAAGTTACTACTCTGTTGCATTTTTGTTATGACTAGCCATATAGTAGTTTACTGAGATCTTTTTACTGTATTCTGATTGGTGCTTTATGGAAACCGCCTGAAAGATGCAGTGTTATCATTTATTACTTAAGGCCTAATCAATAATAAAGAAATTGAATTCTGCCTCGCACATCTAGGTATTTGTGTCGCAGTGTTCCAAAGTACTTTGAACTGTATGTCATTGTATGCAGGCAGAGGGCCCTAAATTGATGTTCCTGACAGAACGAAACAAAATTATTCAATGAACAAATGGATCTGAACTTAAACAAACATTTCCAGCGTGCATATTTCTAGTGGCTATATACTCCGGGATTGAAAGCAGCTTCTAAATCCCATTACCCAACACTCGCTGCAGCTCTGGGAGGGTATCAAGTATTCAGGAGGCCTGCTCCCTCCTCATTTACCATTGTTGTTCATTATTCACAAACCTTCCTATCCCCCAGCATTTGAATGCGGGAGGATTTCAAACATTGGATTGCATCAAAGACATCTCTCCTTCACTCTTTATTGACTCCCAGAGGGTCCAAATCTTTTGTTCACCTCTAAAGATCCTATTGTTTACTTCCAACTAAACTATTTTGATATTTGCAGGTTAAACACTGTGTGATGTTGACAGCGCTCCCTGGGAGAGCCCCTTCAATGTTAACACCATTCAATTTAAATGTATAAAGGATCCCACTCAGTAGGGCTGATCTCTTTGCGTTATGAAATCCTAACCTCCAAGCAATTGATGGCACCTTTGAACTATGTTAGTAAGTTGAAGCGAGATCTCCAACTGCTCCTTGATCCGAAACACTGGGATCAAATTTGGGCTACCACGAAATCTTGTTGGCACAATGCCACAGTAGTGGAAAATAATTACAAAATACTACTTCCATGGTACATGGTTTCTGCCAGGTTAGCCCACATTAATCCCTACACTCGCTGCTTCTGTAGCTGTTTAGAGACAGGTTTCTTCATTCATACCTTGTAGTTCTGCCCTGTGGTGCAGTGACTCTGGCAACAGGTATACAGTATATGATAATATGAATCAAACGCTCTTCCTCCAAACAGTACCGTTGAACCCACTGGAGGCCTTCCTCAACCAAAAACTGCAGGAACTGACTAAATTACAGTTCACTCTCATGATGTACATCCTTACAGCCACAAAGTCCAAAACTCAAATGCACTGGACCCTACCTAATGAGAAACTCACTGCTAGACTAGTCTACATGTCATAGAGTCTAGGAGCCATGGTCTCAACTTCACTCTTCACAATCTCCAAAGCAATTTTCACTGCCGATATTTAGAATGGCAACAACAGTCTCCACAATGTATTGGAACCTGAGATCAATGCTACCCCCAGCTGGCTTCTCCCTCTCTTTCAACCCCTCTCTTGTTCACTTTTTTTTCTATTTTTTTTTTTTTACCCTTATTTTAGTCTGTTCACTGTTTTAAACTCATTATGTATGTCGCATGTGACCTACTTTGCACTGAACACAATCTGCATTATGCCAAATGATAACTCTTCAACAACATGTGGTTAACTAAATGTCATGTTTCAGTGTGCTGCTTTATCATAACTCACATATGTAATGCATGCAAGATCATTTGCAGTGTTTTGCATTGATTTGTTCATTTTATGTATCTTTGTAATTATTCTTCAAAACTCAATAAAACTTTATTAAATACAAAAAAATTGGAAAGAAGTAGCAGAAAGGAGGGAACAATGAATACCTAAAGCCAGAAATCCAATACTCAGTGTAGACACTCCAGTGTCCACTAGGTTTTAGGAGATAGTCAGACTGCAAATTGAAGGCTCCTCCTTCAGCTCCACTGTAAATAGCATCTTTGGTGTACCATCCCAGGTGTGCATCTTAAATGCCTCCAAAACAACAGCAGCCTTGCATTACAAATCAATAAACATCAACTTTACCCCACAGTTAAACCCCAACAGTTGCTGAAAGAAAGAAACTAATTTTTTACCCAAGTGACAAGGCTAAACAACGCAAGGATTGGTCAGCTGATAAATATTTATACCTCACATCACATTCATATATTGTATCTCACACAATCAACGGAATGCAAGCCAACAATGGCAGAAAGGAGGTGTTTCAGGGCACTCCTTTAAATAATTTGGCTAGCATGTTGGCTCACAGGTTTAGTAAAAGAAATATTCTAAGGGGTTCAATATCACACAGGGGGCTTGATTACCCACCACCACCTTGTGATAGCAATAAAGTTAAAAGAAAACGAAAACAAATAAATTAAAAAGTAATTGTAATTAAATGCATAATATAATTTAGAAAATAAAAGCACCTCTCTCCCGCACAAACAAATGTAATAGAGCCTGCTTGAGTGAGAGCAATAATACTAGGACTAATTCTTGGTTAACTCCACCAGGACAGTGATGTGAGGAAGAGGCCTTTGTCTTCATCAACATAGAGGCAAGGTGCTTTGCAGGGGAGGGTCCTGGCAAAGTACCTTTCCCATGTTGACAGCATGTGGGCTGGTATGTTTCAGAAGGAGGGGTTGCACATTCACTGCCCACCCCTTTCCTGAGTAGTCAATGTGCTTGCTCAGAAATGGATTTTGGGTGAACCCCACACTTATTTTTCTGGGGTCCCACCTTTGGGGGAACCCAACTTTTTTTTTTGTAAAAGCATAATTAGTTGTTATGGTGCACCATAACAACCAATGGCTTTGTGGCTGCCGCTGTCCTATAGCAACCGATGACATCTTAAGTTACTAGCTTTTATTTTAAAAATAAGTACATACTTTTGCCTGAGCTTCAAAACCAAGTGCTCAAAATACCACAAGAGTACACCCCTAAAATGGGCTGGAGTGTATCCCTTTGGGATTATGAGCATCCAGCTATCCCAGGAGGCAGTGTGAGGCAAAATGAAGTGCTGAGTTAAGTATTTCTTTTAGTTAGCAACAGCTTTTTAATGCCTTTGCAGGTGATTTACCTCTGGGAGATACAGGGTTTTTAATAAATTGGACCTTTTCATGGGATCTCTACTTGGTGATAACAGCAGAATACACCTGGTCAGTGTGCATCAGCACAGAAGCTTATAGTTTCCTTTGGGAGAGCATGCGGCTGGATGAACTACAAGCCTACAGGGACCTGGGTAAGAGTATCACTAGCTGTTATTTTCATTAAAGCTAGCAAAAAAAATAAAAATATGCTTTTCAAGTGATATTATCATGGTAAAGTTTGTATGAGATTTTAGTGATTGAGTTTACATCTACTTAACCATTTGCCTACATGGCACTTATACCCCCTTCCTGCCCAGGCCAATTTTCAGCTTTCAGTGCTGTCACACTTTGAATGACAATTGTGCGATCATGCAACACTGTACCCATATGAAATTTTTATAATTTTTTTAGACAGATAGAGATTTCTTTTGGTGGTATTTAATCACCTCTGGGTTTTTTATTTTTTGCTAAACAAACCAAAAACCACTGAAAATTTTGAAAAAAAACATTTGTTTCTTAGTTTCTGTTATAAAATTTTGTAAATAAGTGATTTTTCTCCTTCACTGATGTGCGCTAATAAGGCTGCAGTGATGGGCACTGATAGGCTGCACTGATGGGCACTGATAGGTGGCACTGATGGGCACTGATGAGGAGGCACTAGTAGGTGGCACTGATGGGCATTGACAGGCATCACTGATGGGCACTGAAAGGCAACACTCATATATGGCACTGATAGGTGGCACTGATAGGCGGCACTGACTGGCACTGATAGGCGGCACTGACTGGCACTGTTAGGTGGCACTGACTGGCACTGTTAGGTGGCACTGATAGGCAGCACTGACATACACTGATGCACACTGATAGGCGGCATCAACTGGCACTGATAGGCAGCACCTACTGGCACCGATAGTTGTTACTGACTGGCATTGATAGGTGGAACTGACTGGCACTGATAGGTGGCACTGAAAGGCAGCTCTGATGGGCACTGATATGTGGCATTGATGTGCACGGGTAGGCACTGATATGTGGCATTAGTGTGGCACTGATGGGCACTGACAGTTGACATTGATGGACACTGACAGGTGGCACTGCTGGGGCTACAATGATCATCAGGGCACACTGATCATCAGTGCCCTGATGATCAGTGTAGATGTCCCCTCTGAGGAATGCCGATTACCGGCTCTCCTCTCCTCAATAGCTGTCGGCATGACAGCTCATGAGGAGAGGAATGCCGATAACCAGCATTTCCTTATGTACATGCGATCAGCTGTGATTGGACACAGCTGATCACATGACAGAGTTGACGTCTTCAACTCTTTCCGTTGATCGGTGATCCGATGTGTCCGAGGGACAGAGTGCACCACCGATCGCCGCGCTGCGCACCCTCGGAGCTGCGCGCTCATGTGGTTAGAGCGGGAGGACGTCATATGACGTCCTCCCAGAACGAGAGAACCGCCTTGCATCCGTCATTTCCTTATATGTTGGTCAGGAGGCGGTTAAACAAATTGTGCTTGAGTTCTTTGAATTTCAGAGCTGGAGTACATTCTCCTATCTTCCTTGCTTGTGTGTACAGATCTGTACATCCAAAAATCCTTTTAAAGCCTGATATCTGTTTGCAACAGCTGACTGATAGCTAGCCCTTCTATTTTCAATACCTTAGCTATTTTTTTCTAACTTGGGTTCCTTTTTTAGGTAATAACTTTGGGGTGCTTGGTTGGGGTGATTACAGCACGGCAGGGAGATGTTGCTGACAGTCCATTCAATAGCTGTCCTTTTTTGCACCACCTGACTGCAGTTTGAGAAAAAAAGTAAAAACTTTATACAGTGCATCCAAATATCATACACACACACACCCAAATTGCACTACAGCCTCCTGCTGTATCACCATATAGCCAAAGGTGTTTGTTTGATCTTTTCTTTAGTTTTTAGTTAAACCTATATAAAATAAATGCAGTGATTTCATTAGTAACACCTGCAGTGGCTGCTTAGTAATCCTCAATGATAATTCCTTTCTGCTGCACTAAAGTCCCTTTCTTACATGACATGTGCAGCAGGGCAGGCTAGTACCTCAAACACATATTGATGGCTCCTGCTGTATCAGCCAGTAAAAACCAAAAAGTGAAGGGAGAGAAGAGCTGCAGACAGGCACAGCACTGGATCGAATGAGGGCTCAGGTAAATAAAAGGGGGTGAGGGGGTGATACTGATGCCTAAACAAGTTAAAAAATGTTAAGGCTTTATACCACTTTTGTCCCATTCCATGGCATGTGCAATTTTAAAGTGTCACATGTTTATATTTTACCAAAATTGGGTATTATGTTGTGTTTGTGTTTCCTAAAACTCATTAAAATGTAAAAAAAAAACTGAGTTGAAAAACTGCTGTGCAACATCTACCATTTTATCTCTAGGGCAACGGTTCTCAACCTGGGGGTCGAACGACGCTTCCACAGGGGTCGCCTAAGACCATCGGAAAACACATATTTCCGATGGTCTTAGGAACCGAGACACCGCTCCTCACCGCCGCCGCCGCCGTCTCCAGGTGTGGGCGGGATGACATGCCGCCCCTGTCATCTGGACACACCTCGAGATCAATCCTCGCCTGTGATTGGCCGCCGGCACTGTAGCTCAGGAGAGGCACACAGGCGGCCAATCACCGGCAAGGAGGTGGAGCTTGGAGAGGAGGAGCCGAGCAGCACCGCGAAGATCGAGCGAGTGAAGAGGAGGAGAGCGGCCGGAGAAGGAAAGACATCTGACAGGTAAGTGTCGGTACCATGGGAGAGGGAGGGAGCGAGCGAGCCCAGGCTGGAGCAGGGGTCAGCAAGGTAAGTATCATTGGTGCCAGTGGGAATAGTGCCCCATCATTGGTGTCACTAATACCAATGATGGGGCACTATTCCTCCCATGACACCAACGATGGGACACTATTCCTCCCACTGACACCAACGATGGGGCACTATTCCTCCCCTGACACCAACGATGGGGCACTATTCCTCCCCCAAATGACACCAACGATGGGGCACTATTCCTCCCCCACTGACACCAAGGATGGGGCACGATTCCTCCCCCCACTGACACCAACGATGGGGCACAATTCCTCCCCCCACTGACACCAAGGATGGGGCACTATTCCTCCCCCCACTGACACCAAGGATGGGGCACTATTCCTCCCCCCACTGACACCAAGGATGGGGCACTATTCCTCCCCCCACTGACACCAAGGATGGGGCACTATTCCTCCCCCCACTGACACCAAGGATGGGGCACTATTCCTCCCCCCACTGACACCAAGGATGGGGCACTATTCCTCCCCCCACTGACACCTATGATGGGGCACTATTCCCCCCACTGACACCTATGATGGGGCACTATTCCCCCCACTGACACCAATGATGGGGCACTATTCCTCCTCCCACTGACACCAATGATGGGGCAAACTATTCCTCCCACTGACAGCAATGATGGGGCACTATTCCTCCCACTGACAGCAATGATGGGGCACTATTCCTCCCACTCAATGATGGGGCTCCTCCCACTGATACCAATGATGGGGCACTATTCCTCCCACTGATACCAATGATGAGGCACTATTCCTCCCACTGACACCGATGATGGGGCACTATTCCTCCCACTGATACCGATGATGGGGCACTATTCCTCCCACTGACACCGATGATGGGGCACTATTCCTCCCACTGACACCGATGATGGGGCACTATTCCTCCCACTGATACCGATGATGGGGCACTATTCCTCCCACTGATACCGATGATGGGGCACTATTCCTGCCACTGACACCGATGATGGGGCACTATTCCTCCCACTGACACCGATGATGGGGCACTATTCCTCCCACTGATACCGATGATGGGGCACTATTCCTTCCACTGATACCGATGATGGGGCACTATTCCTCCCACTGATACCGATGATGGGGCACTATTCCTCCCACTGACACCGATGATGGGGCACTATTCCTCCCACTGACACCGATGATGGGGCACTATTCCTCCCACTGATACCAATGATGGGGCACTATTCCTCCCACTGATACCAATGATACCAATGATGGGGCACTATTCCCCCCCACTGACACCAATGATGGGGCACTATTCCTCCCACTGATACCAATGATGAGGCACTATTCCTCCCACTGATACCAATGATGGGGCACTATTCCTCCCACTGACACCAATGATGGGACACTATTCCTCACACTGACACCAATGATGGGGCACTATTCCTCCCACTGATACCAATGACGGGGCACTATTCCTCCCACTGACACCGATGACGAGGCACTATTCCTCCCCTGACACGATGACATTCCTCCGACTGACGATGGGGGCACTATTCCTCCCACTGATACCGATGATGGGGCACTATTCCTCCCACTGATACCGATGATGGGGCACTATTCCTCCCACTGACACCGATGATGGGGCACTATTCCTCCCACTGACACCGATGATGGGGCACTATTCCTCCCACTGATACCGATGATGGGGCACTATTCCTCCCACTGATACCGATGATGGGGCACTATTCCTCCCACTGATACCGATGATGGGGCACTATTCCCCACTGACACCGATGATGGGGCACTATTCCTCCCACTGATACCAATGATGGGGCACTATTCCTCCCACTGATACCAATGATGGGGCACTATTCCTCCCACTGACACCAATGATGGGACACTATTCCTCACACTGACACCAATGATGGGGCACTATTCCTCCCACTGATACCAATGACGGGGCACTATTCCTCCCACTGACACCAATGACGAGGCACTATTCCTCCCACTGACACCAATGACGGGGCACTATTCCTACCACTGATACCAATGACGGGGCACTATTCCTCCCACTGACACCAATGACGGGGCACTATTCCTCCCACTGACACCAATGACGGGGCACTATTCCTCCCACTGACACCAATGACGGGGCACTATTCCTCCCACTGACACCAATGACGGGGCACTATTCCTCCCACTGACACCAATGACGGGGCACTATTCCTCCCACTGACACCAATGAAGGGGGCACTATTCCTCCCACTGACACCAATGACGGGGCACTATTCCTCCCACTGATACCAATGATGGGGCACTATTCCTCCCAATGACACCAATGACGTGGCACTATTCCTCCTACTGCAAAATTACAGTTATGAAGTAGCAACGAAAATAATTTTATGGTTGGGGGTCACCACAACATGAGGAACTGTATTAAGGGGTCGCGGCGCTAGAAAGGTTGAGAACCACTGCTCTAGGGCCTTTGTTTGCCCCCTTTTTCTTACCCAGTTTGCATTGTCACCCCTGCCTGTATTTGTTTGAGCAGGGCAGGGACAGACTTACAGGGGAAAATAAAATAAGATTTAAAAAAATTATAAACAAAAATAATAATAAAGTATTAGTATAATAAAATAAATCTGTACCTATATTTTTACAAAAATGAAACTACATAAAAGAATTGTGTGATGGCAGGTAGAAATACGTTGTATATTGTTGCTATAGGGAATATGCTGTTTTAGGATGGTTAGTCTGTTCTTCTTTAACAATTTCTTATTTAATAAGACCTTTAGATTTCTGGCTCCGCAGAGCAGGAAACTCAAAGTTCAGCACCAGAACGCAGCCGTTGAGTATTGTGTGTAGAACCTTACTAATGCTTATTATAGTACCTGTATTCATTTACATACATTATATTGCTAAAAGTTTTGGGACACCCCTCCAAATCATTGGATTCAGGTGTTCTAATTACCTCCATGGCCACAGTTGTATAAAATCAAGCACCTAGCATGCAGACTGTTTCTCAAAAACTTAAAAAATGCCTAGGACCTACAGCGAGCTAATGCCATCTGGCGTGGTAGGTTGTGGTAATATAGTAGTAGCTACCACACTAGCCTCTACTGATTCACCAAAAAATGTAGTATAAGTAAAGTGGCAAGTAACCCAGAAACTATACTGAAGAAAAATCTAAAGGCCATAGCAAGCCTAAAAGGAAGTTACCATGCGGATACGTCAGCTTAAAATTCAAAAAGGCTTTATTGTATGAAAATTACAAAATACACCAAGGAGCAATAAAAAAATAATCATTTCACCA